AAAATGGTCTGGCAGCTGAGCAGCTAGATGAATGTTTGGTTTTCCTTTGTTGCTGCGTGACCACATTTGTTGTTGTCCTTTTGCTCCCAGGCTTATAAACAAAAACCTGTCCCTTGGTTGCTAGGCATGCAAATAGGACTCAACTCCAGGTGGGAATAGGTGTCAAGACTGCTGATGTCCACGGTACTGGTGCCTCCATAAAGCAGCAATATTCCCATGTACCTTTCTTAAGCTGAAGAGACATTTGGGAGACTTTCACCCGGGGGAAAGGTTGTAGGCAGAGGAAGGGGAGACATTTGATTTGGTTTGCATTCAAAGGCAAATCTGTCAAATTCAAACTTTCTGAAACAAGATGAGAACTGAAACACAGCAATCCACTGAAATTCACACTTCTCCAATTTTTTGCAATGCTGTCCCCCAGCCAGCCAATGTTGACAAAAACAAATGTGTTAGAGGAAAGTCTGCATAAAAGTTAATAAATACAAAAATGCATTATATTAAGAAAAACTGCTTGCACAAATGTGTACATTATTCAAAACTGAATACAAAAAATGTGCTTGCTAGGGGAAATTCACACTAAAATGCTGATGAATTTTCATTAGCATTTTTTTTTCAGTGAATCACTGCAGAAATGTGGAGGACTGAATTTAAGATTGGAAAAAATGAGGAATGGGAAGAACTGAAATGGACAGATCCTTCCATTCCTAGTTCCTCAACACATGCAATATCAGCTTTCTCTACCTCTCCCGGTTGTTTTAGTGGCGTGTTGCCTGCTCATACTAGTAGACAGACAGATAAATTGTGTACAGTTATCTAGAATATTATTATGGAAGATATCCTGATATGATACTGCATGAAGATAACTTTTGAGCCTGTCCAGACAAATTTGCAACCAGCAAAATTACTTCATTAACCAGCTAAATAACTGGACAATCAATTAATCAATCATTTTGTTTGTATGTCACCTTTCCAAAGTTAAAATCAAGCTCAAGGCAGCTTCCAACATAAAAAAAATTATGTAACTATAACCATAACAAATGTAGTCATAAACAATAAACAGCACAACAAAAAGTACACAACCAAACTGAACAATTCCCACATGATTTATGTAAGACCCAAAATAAAAATATAAAGAATCAACAACCCCCACCTCCAACAAAACCACCTGGACCAGGAATGGCCAAACTTGGCCCTCCAGCAGTTTTGGGACTACAACTCCCATCATCCATAGGTAACAGGCCCAGTGGTCAGGGATGATGGGAACTGTAGTTCCAAAACAGCTGGAGGGCCAAGTTTGGCCATGCCTGCCCTAGACAATACCACAGCTCAGGAGTCCATTCAGCAGCCTTAACTTGTAGCTGGAGTCAGTCAGGGCTCTGCCCTCCCAGGCCAGGTGGGAAAAGGCCTGCAAGGCAGGGAGCAGGTCTTCCAGGACTCACAGACAAGATGGTCAGGCATACAAGATCAGGCCTTTCCCTCTAAAAAGATGTTTCTAAACATGTAAGAGGATCTTCCGTGATCCCATGTAAGTTCCTTCTTCTGTTTTCACACTGCCCAAGTACAGTTCTTATGCACAGGGCGAACAAAGTGGCCGACAAATTGTCTGAACCAGCTCTTAACTGAACTTGACCTAATATTTCAAATGCTGTCCTATTTATGTTATTTTTTTGGAACAAACTATTAATGGTACTCTGAGAGTTTTCTGTCACTGTCACAGAATTTGCTGAACAGGGGTCTTTATCACCCTTGAATAGCTTGGTTAATAATGCCACTAGACAGAGATGAGAACTACATTGAGATGGAAAATTTGTTGTTATAGAAGGAGTTTTGTTAATTTGCATTTACGCCACCTGATCTGGAACAAGGCATCTACTTGAGTCCATTTCCTTTATGTCAGCTATTTTAAAAATAGACCATACAGCCATATGGAGTAACTGGTCGGTAGATTCACTAGAGGTGAACAAAATACTCCAATTAATATGAGAAACCTTAAAACATCAATCCTTTTAAATGAATCATCATTACTAAAGGCAGCATTATGAAAAGTGTGGCTTAAACCGGGTCCTGCAAACATCTATTTTGGACTTTCTCTAAACTTAGCTTACTTGAAAATGCTTATATCACGGTTTAAAATTAATACAAAATAACATGCATCAAGGCTGTCACTCAATTTGACATGTCTTACATTAATTATTCATTAATTGCAATCAATTGCTAAATCTTCATACACAGGCATGTGAGTAGAGACAAGGTATTTAGATTCTGTGCATGTGCACATGTGCACATGTGCACACATGCACACACTAAGGTAAAGGTAAAGGGACCCCTGACCATTAGGTCCAGTCGTGGCCGACTCTGGGGTTGCAGCACTCATCTTGCTTTATTGGCCAAGGGAGCCAGCATACAGCTGTGGCCAGCATGACTAATGGTCATGTGGCCAGCATGACTAATCCGCTTCTGGCGAACCAGAGCAGCACACGGAAATGCCGTTTACCTTCCCGCCAGAGTGGTACCTATTTATCTACTTGCACTTTGATGCACTTTCAAACTGCTAGGTTGTCAGGAGCAGGGACTGAGCAACGGGAGCTCACCCCGTCGCGGGGATTCGAACTGCCGACCTTCTGATTGGCAAGTCCTAGGCTCTGTGGTTTAACCCACAGCGCCACCCACGTCGCTCATGCACACACTAGGTGCCTCCTAAAACAAAGATAGACTATTCTGTGCTCCTCCATAAGGTATTAGACTCCATCTCCTGTCAGCTCTAACCTGCATGGCAAACAGACAGAGATCATGGGAGTTGAAAACCAACAACATCTAGAGAGCCACAATATCTAAGACACTTTTCCTGCAACAGAGGAAGGAGGGATATCTTCTCTAATACAGTGCCTTACCACTCATGTATTTTTTTATCATTGTATTCATTACAATTTAACTGAGAGCACATTTTAATCAATCGTCTTTTACTTGATTTATTGTTGCTGCCTGGCTTAGCGTTTACATGGTGCTCTGGATTGTTTGAAGAACTTCATATGCATTAGCCTAGTAATCCTTACCAACAAACGTGTTGGGTAAGTCGGTATTATTGCATTATAGAGATGGGAGTGATGGGCTGAGATTAAAAGGCTGAGGTGAGATATGAAGAAGGGACCTCAACCATGCTGCTGCCCAGGACTGACCTGCTGGGAGCCTGAAGGGCCCTGCCCTGCTTCTCTCCACCTGGCTTGGAGCAGGGCCTAGCGGGCTCCATAAAAGACTGCTGCTGCTGCTGCTGCTGCTGGGCAGAGAGGGCTCCATTTTTGTTTTTGTTTTTTAAATTACATTTATTTTTTATCTATAATTTTAAATTGTGATTGATATTAATGCTGTATTCTTAGTTTTAGATTTTACGATTTACGTGGAAATTGTTTTCCGTTTGGTTGTGTACTTTTTGATGTGTTTTATTTAAGTATGGTGTAGTGGTTAAGAGCGGTAGTCTTGTAATCTGGGGAACCGGGTTCGAGTCTCCGCTCCTCCACATGCAGCTGCTGGGTGACCTTGGGCTAGTCACACTTCTCTGAAGTCTCTCAGCCTCACTCACCTCACAGAGTGTTTGTTGTGGGGGAGGAAGGGAAAGGAGAATGTTAGCCGCTTTGAGACTCCTTAAGGGGAGTGAAAGGCGGGATATCAAATCCAAACTCTTCTTCTTCTTCTTATTGCTTATGGCTTTTGTTATGTTGGTAATTACCGTATTTTTTGCTCTATAAGACTCACTTTTTCCCTCCTAAAAAGGAAGGGGAAATGTGTGTGCGTCTTATGGAGCAAATGCAGGCTGCGCAGCTATCACAGAAGCCAGAACAGCAAGAGGGATTGCTGCTTTCACTGCGCAGCGATCCCTCTTGCTGTTCTGGCTTCTGAGATTCAGAATATTTTTTTCTTGTTTTCCTCCTCCAAAAACTAGGTGCGTCTTGTGGTCTGGTGCGTCTTATAGAGCGAAAAATACGGTACCGTATGTAAATCTTGTCATGTTGTAAGCCGCCCTGAGCATTGTTTTAACTATGGAATGGCGGCATACGAATAAAATGATGATGATGATCCTGTCTTACAACGGCGATGATAAAACTGTTATGGGTTGAAGCATTTCAGACTGCAGGTGGGAATGAATGCTCCTCCTTATAAATAATAATATATATTTTTTATTTATAACCCGCCCTTCCCGGTTTAAAAACCGGGTTCAGGGCAGCTAACAGCAAATATAAAACATTGATTAAAATGTGACTTTAAAACAGCATAAAACACAACATAAAATGCAGCATCAATAGCAATAAAATTCAAAAATTAGGTTGTCATTTTTTGGGGGGGGGGGAACGACCCAGTCAGTAGCCACTGAATGATCACCAGGGCTAACTGGCCAAGTTGGTCCTACTAGGGCCAGCAATGAGACCAGGGAAGAATTTAAATGTGGGGTCCCAGAAAGGGTTTCTTCATAGAAGAGGAAAGGGAAAAGGGAATAGAGGATCAGGCTAATTCAAATTGAAGGCCAGGCAGAATAGCTCTGTCTTACAGGCCCTGAGGAAGGAGATCAAGTCCTGCAGGGCCCTAGTCTCATGGGACAGAGCATTCCACCAGGTCGGAGCCATCACTGAGAAGGCCCTGGCCCTGGTGGAGGATAGTCTGGCTTCCTTAGGGCCCGGGACCTTTAAGCTATTATTATTCATGGACCTTAGGGTCTTCTGCGGGACATACCAATAAATGTGGGGGTGAGCATCTCTCTATCTCTCTCTCTCTCTCTCTCTCACACACACACACACACACAATCTATCCATCCCCATTTGGGAAACTAGTACACTGAGAATGGTTCTAGCCTAGTCTTATTTTTGACACACAGTTTTCTATGTGTATGAATCTTTATGCATAGGAATCTCCCTATTCCATGGAAAAACCTTGGATTTTCTCCACTTTTTGCTGAATTGTAGAGCTGGAAGGTTCCACGAGGGTCACCCCCCCTGCAATGCAGGAATCTTTGGCCCAACATAGGGCGTGAACCCACAACCCAGAGATTAAGAGTCTCGTCCTCTAACCGACTGAGCTATCTTCTGCCTGAAGTGCTACAACCCTGACAAAGGGTTCACTCTAGTGAAAACTAGGCCAGCGAAAGAGTGTAAATTTTAAAGACTCTCATCCATCAATGCCGTACATCAGCTTCTACTGCAATCTTTTTCTGAATGCAGCAATGGTACAGTTCAGACTCAAAATAACTGTTCTTCTAAAATGCCACTACAACAGGACGGGGCTGCTTCCTGATCACACACCTATGCCTACCCTGCCCATCGCTAATGAAGGTCAACAAAATAAAGATGGAGGACAGTGACTCCAAAGGCAATAAGAAGCATTGGCCAGAGCATGAATATTTCAGAGCCTGTTTTTTGTTTGGTCATGGAATACATGCCACAAATTGACAAATTACAGTGGTACCTCTGGTTATGTACTTAATTCGTTTCAGAGGTCCGTTCTTAACCTGAAACTGTTCTTAACCTGAAGCACCACTTTAGCTAATAGGGCCTCCCGCTGCTGCCACATGATTTCTGTTCTCATCCTGAAGCAAAGTTCTTAACCTGAGGTACTATTTCTGGGTTAGCGGAGTCTGTAACCTGAAGCATATGTAACCTGAAGCGTATGTAATCTGAGGTACCACTGTACTGCAAACTGTGATGCTTAGAATGTCTGGTAACCTCACCTTGGGATCTGCTTAGAAATACTAATCTCAGGCACAGAGGGAGATCCATTGCAGGGAGTTTGGGGGGAGAGACCTCAACGAAATAACATTCTTTAGGACTGTCCCACATATTAGTAGGGTAGCCACTTGTCCTACTTTAGAGAGGATAGTCCCTCACTCTCCCCTCAGTGCCTCTCCAACTCCTTGATCCATCTTTGTCAAGCTGGAAGGTGAGCAGAGGAGGGCAACCAAGATAATGAAGGGTCTGGAAACCAAGCCTGATGAGGAACAGTTGAAGGAGCTGGGTATGCTTAGCCTGGAAAAGAGGAGGCTGAAAAGAGATATGATAGCCATCTTCAAATATCGAAAAGGCTGTCACATGGAAGATGGAACAAGCAGGTTTCTTCTGCTCTGGAGGGTAGGACCCAAACCAAGATTTTCAAGTTACAAGAAAGGAGATTCTGACTAAACATCAGGAAAAAACATTCTGACAGTAAGAGCTGTTCAACAGTGGAACAGTTTCCCTCAGGACCTTGTGGACTTCTCCTTCCTTGGAGGTTTTTAAGCAGAGGTTGGTGTCTTTTAAAAACTGCGTTATTCGGGCAGACCTTTGGAAACATGAATCTTTTTCTTATTGATGGTTTTACTGCAGTACTGTGTTTTTAAGTTGTACATCTCCCGGTTCAGTTTTCTATGAGAGCACAGTTTATAAATATTTAAATAAAACAAAACAAATGAAAAATGAATCGCTGAACAGAGCCATAGAGCTCATACAGACAAAGAGAAAATACGTAACCCAGCCAGCTTCAAGTCCAGCCACTGATAGACTCCCGACGTGGTCTAGAAATGCAGCTTAACGTGTGGCCATAGCAAACACCTACTCTTTCTACAACTTTGAATTGGTTCTCAGGGGGATCCCTTGGGAAGTAAAGTGCAATAAGTGGTTGTCGAAATGAAGTAATTGTGTGAAGATGGTCTTGGGACATGAAGCGATTTCAAGCTGTTCCCGCCACCTCCCAGTGCTTTGAAGAGAAAAGAATGGGATGCAGAAAATTTTAGTGGAGTTTGGAATTTATGAATTCCTGCTATTAAGGATTGGCAAAGACACCTTCCAGTCATTGCTCGAGATTTCTCAGGGCCGCTTGGTTCTAGAGCTTTGTTTAGGCTTATATTATAGCTTTCAAAGATATGATTTTGCTCTGGGTCTGTGTGATTTTTTAATTTTTATTATCTTTTTTTGCAGCAACTTGTTCTTTAAAAGGTAAAGGGACCCCTGACCATTAGGTCCAGACATGGCCGACTCTGGGGTTGCGACGCTCATCTTGCTTTATTGGCCGAGGGAGCCAGCGTACAGCTTCCGGGTCATGTGGCCAGCATGACTAAGCCACTTCTGGCGAACCAGAGCAGCACACGGAAACGCTGTTTACCTTCTGGCCGGAGCGGTACCTATTTATGTACTTGCACTTTGATGTGCTTTCGAACTACTAGGTTGGCAGGAACAGGAACTGAGCAACGGGAGCTCACCCCATCGTGGGGATTCGAACCACCAACCTTCTGATCGGCAAGTCCTAGGCTCTGTGGTTTAACCCACAGCGCCACCCGCATCCCAACTTGTTCTTTATGACACCTTTAAAAATGCACACACACGTAGATACTGCTGCAGGGAAGACTACATTCATTTAACTATGTAGTCGGTTCCATGTCCAAGTCTATTTCTCAAACCATTAGTCAGACAGCTGAGGCCTCTGTCATTTTGGTTGTTGTTTTTCTTTAAAAAGAAGATCAACACAAGTTGGATTTTCTATAGTCCTCTGCCTTAAGAGTACACTTTTCGCTACCAGGAATTTCTTGTCAATTTACTGCTCAGACCATAACCAAGAGTACATCTGCAGCGGTAGAGTCTCAAGTGTGAAGACTAATAATTTGGCTTTAATAGGTAGGAAAGACCCCCCTCTGAGTTCCATCATCCAGAGAGAGAGAGAGAGAGAGAGAGAGATTTGGAGTGGACAAAAGGAACTGGAGCCTTTTCCACAATAATCCTTAGGCTTTGGGGTGAGTTCCAAGAATCCCTTCATATGATTTAGGGTGGCCACTTGTGCATTGCCAAAAGGGTGGGGCGATGCGTCACCAAAAAAAGAGGACACAGATCTGCACATAATCAATATGATAGAAATAGAAATATAATCCTGCTCACCATAGTGAGGGGGAAACGTGAAAAGGTGGAAGTCTCTGCTTGCTCAGTCCATGTGATTATTGTTGATGGGCAACTTCAAGGTTCTTATTCTTCTTTCTTATGCTACATTATCTTTAAACAAGACCAGACAGCTCTTCCAGCAGAGGACTGAAGGAGTCCATGCAGCTCTTCAAATAGAGGACTGTCCCCTGACAGCCCTTGAAACAGAAAACGGTCATCTGTTAAGTAGGGCACATGCCTACCCTAGTCTGATCTCCGGTTGAAATTCTTTCTCAATTGTATCTGTAGTTCATCTGCTCATATTACTTTGGGAACATAGGAAACTGCCTTAGGCCAGGTCAGATAACCAGGCTGTCCATCTTGTTCTCTACTGTACACACCAGGGGCCATCAACTTTGTAAGGCCTGTGGGAGCATTTGGATATTTGAGTGTGACTCTCTCCCCCACCCCCTGGATGTCAAAGGAACAGCTGAAAACAAGACTATGAAGCAGATTTCTCACCAAGGCATGGCCTCCTGCTATGAATGCTTTTTGCCTTAGTTCTCTGCACCAAAAGTTTTTATCATGCACATTATACGCAAACAGATATGCACATTGCTTTCCAATGTGTGCTTTTTACATATTCCTTGATATATAATTATTGTTCGTGGACTGTGAGTGTGAGTCATTTCTTTGCTAGAGGCAACCTATATGTAGCGGGGCTGCAGTCCTAATCAGTATACTCAGTAAGTAAGTGCAATTGAATTCAATAAAAACTCAATACTCCCCATCTCAGATAATGCACCGGGTGGTTTTTCTTTTACCTGCTATTTTATTCTTAGCTAGCAGAGCAGGCGTGCTCTGGTCCATGGGGTCACGAAGAGTCGGACACGACTAAACGACTAAACAACAACAACAGCAGAGCAGGGACAGAGGCAGTTGGAGTTTTTCTTCCATTTTGTTTTTTAATTGTATGCCACCCATAGATCTCAGAGTGGTCCACAGCTTCCTGGCAAGAATCAGGTGTTTGCTTGCTGTGCAACATTTATAATAAAAGTTTAGAAAGTGATGTTCCTGATGCATGACAGAATCATCAAAAGTTAGGCATGACGCAAGTCCTGTTGCAACCAGCGGACTTAATTTAATCACAAGCACAGCAAAATCCTATTCCCTTCCTTTCATTTGGGCTTGCTGGATTATGCTCCTTATGTTTACAGGATCATTGTGGGCTAAATCTGTACTGTTTACTTGGAGACTACAGACTGGGTTTGTACACACTACTGCATATCTCAAGGTGCAGCTTTTCAGCCTACCAAATTGTCTCACTAATTGTCTCTCTAAACTAACAGTGCATTATGGCTGCTTGTGGAAACATACTGAAAAGATTCCAAGATCTTTAAGGAAACAAAAGGATTGCAATAGTGTCAACAGAAGCATCCAGACATCAGGTTTCTGGTCCTTCAAACCATGGTTGGAAGGATTACAAACAAGCTGTGCTCCTTTATTTCCCACTCCCCTCCCCTTCACCTCTCTTCACACACAGCTTGATGAACAACTTCCCGGTTTAATGAAATGATAGCTTGCTTTTAAAGCTGAACTGGCAAACCATGGTTTCAGCAAGTCCTCTGAACTGGCATTGCAAACCAGGGTTAGCTCTACATTTGCGGCATAATGCAAAATGTGGTTTCATTAAACCAGAGAGTAATTTGTTGCAGCCCTGTGCAAGAGAGGAGAAGGGAAGTGGAAGTGGATGAGGGAGCACCAAGCTCATTCATGAACCTTCTAACCATGGCTTGCAAGATTCAAAGAATGACATCTGAATGCAGCCAAGAGCTCTTTTTAAAGAACTCCCACTGAATTGAACAGGCCATCCCTAAGTTAAAAGATCTGATAAATCTGAGTTGAGGGTTCAACAAAGGTCTACAGCTCTGATTGTACAGAGGAACCAAAGTACACTGCCCAGAGCTTGGGGCATTCATAAATGCCCTATGAAATGCCCTATGCTTCATGCTCTGAAACACATTGGCTTGGATCTTCAGATAAGGCACTTCATGGAAGGAAACTTTCACATCTCCTCCTCCCCCTGGAATCACCTACACCCCCAGAAGAACCTCCTTAGTGGGTCAAGGGACCCTCCTCAACTGTGTGGGATGAGGGACCTCTTGAACAATATGGATTGTTTTTGTATGATTTGGGGCAATTCCTCCTTCCA